GGGTGCTAGAGAGGAGAACACCATGGGATGACTACTAGAAGAGAAGGTGGAAGGTATCATCCCCACTATAATAACAATGGTTGCTGTTGGAAATTCTCTTCTCCAAGCGCCCGGAAAAAGCCGAACAGTTGATGAAAAGGAGTTCGCGTCGATCGGGGTAGTGTAAGCCCAATGACACAGTGCAACAAGGCATATGCAAGCACAGAGGCCAAGTCGCGAGGTCCAAATATTGGAATAATCATGACGTTCTGCAATGCAGAACATTCAGCGATTAAACTGAATAGAACAGATACTACACTTGATCTAAGCCAGAGGCAAAGAGAGCTGAAGAAGAAAGAAAAGAAGAAGAAGTTCTGGGGGCAGGGCCACCTTCTTATAGGTATCCTGAGGGCGGTCGGTTTATGCCACTATTCACAAATGAGACAAACAACGACATATGCTCGCTTAATTTAATATGTAAATGGTATTTGAGGCTGGGCATGTGATATGCAGTACTTCGTAGAGCACATAGACTTCTCCACTAGCAGTCACAGAGAGTAATACAAGGAGCGAATAAAGTGACTGGGTGAAGGATTCACTGACTTGAATAGTATGCAATACCTGGTTTATAGTTTCGATATTCTCTAGGGACATTTCTTAGTGGTTGCTATAAATATGATCATTATTGTCATTCCTCAATCACAGATATTAACGTTTTTCAAGCCACGTGCCGCCCAGTTCGAAATAAACCGGTTGATATCATCATACCTGGAATGGTGCGGATGACCTGACAAACATCACCCAAGTCTTCATCTGTATTTTCATCTATGTCTTCTAGATCGATCAATTCAATCCGAGGCCCGAAGCCTTGGGCGAGAATAGATTCGTCGCCCGATTCCTCATATTTGTTAGAGGTTTACTTCCATCAGGCTTCATTGTTGATATTGATGCTTCAGAGCACGCGGGTGCCATCGTGGAGCACTATAACCAGCACTCAACTGTTTCTCGATATTCTATCAAATCTAGCTAAATTGTGAGGACAATGGATGGGACTTATGAGAAAGGGGGAAGAGTAAACTTGGAGGGACAAAGCCAATATACAAAGAGGCGCACATCAGCGCTCTTACACAACATGGCGTGAATGTAAGTTAGTACATCTTCTTCTTCCACGCCTCTCCCTCCGAGCAGATGCAGCTTCATTTTTGGTGTCAAGTCCAAATCGGCAAGTTCGTCACCTCTTGTTCCCCTTCTCCTCTGTTCTCTCCTTGTATGTCCGGAGTCAGAAGGATAAAAGGTATAAGATAAGATCATGATAAATGGTGTAGAAAGGGACCTATGGGAAAGTATCACAAAGCATAGAGTATTGGAGATTTATTCAGAGCAAAGATTGATTCCCCTAGTAAATGCATGAGTTAAGAGCATTGCGTTCCTTGAAGGGATTGCTATAGTTAGGGGTAGTTATGGGGAGACACAAAAGCGGTAAACATTTTTTGTGCCGATTTCAACCTCGACGGCTGACACTTCGGCCAGGACTGTGCGCTCATCTAAGATACGATCGGCGTTAGTCTGTCTGCCTAGTTTTTATCCATCAATTTCCTCGTTCTGAAGCCAGCCTGGAGCCAAAGTTGCGGCGTCGCGGGGAACCACCCCCTTTTTCGACTCCCCACAACGACCATTTCGAGCCGTACCACACCTACGATCAGCGCCGGGAAAATTGTCCCAGAAAGACGCATTCGAGAGAAAAACGCCTCATCGCATGCGAGCGATATTGGGAGAACTGAAACAGGGGGTCAACGGCTACCCACACGATTGTCTCCGTTGAAAAGCGGACAGGAAACCCGCCCACCATGATGTCGCGAAGTCAGTCGAGTCTGGGGTATATGGGGGATACAGGGCGAGAGGATTCTGCGCCGGGGGCCTCTCCGTCCTTGAACCAGCATCCTTCCTCTGGTCCTATCAACCTCTCTGGTCTGGTGTGCAACGTGCGGCGAACGACCGGCAAGGAACCCCGTCCGCTCGTCGGTGCCACTACGACTATACTGGGGGATAAGCTATACGTCTTCGGAGGCCGGATCCTCCTCACGCAGCCGTCCCCAACTCACCTCCAACCTTTATGAGTTGGACTTGATTCGACGACATTGGACGAAAGTTGAGCCCGCTGGAGATGTTCCACCGCCGCGATACTTCCACAGTGTGTGTGCTTTGGGGGACAACAAGTTGGTTTGTTATGGAGGCATGTCACCTGCGCCTACGCTAAAAGACCATGAGAACCCGGCGGAGCCGCAATCGCAGTCACAATCGGAAGTCGTGGTTATGTCGGATATTCACATCTTCGATGTACCAACGCGGGCATGGACCCGTGTTGCTGCCCATGAATCTCCTCAGGGGCGCTACGCACACTGTGCCACGATACTGCCGTCGAGCGCTTGCTTCACATCTGCCAGTGCACCTCTATCCGCCATTCACAATAACCCTGAATCCTCCTCTCATCAAGGTACACTTGGTGTGGATATTGATGGCTTTGGGGGTGCGGAGATGGTGGTGGTCGGAGGACAGGACAGTTCTAATCACTACATCGAACAAATCAGTGTTTTCAACCTGCGCAGTCTCAAATGGACCAACACGAGCCCCTTGGGAAGGAGCTGCGGTGCTTATCGCAGTGTCGTAGCTCCTCTAGTGGGAATGAATGTGTCCGAAATTGGATCCTCAGCTCCAGACCGTGATCAACACGAGCCGATTCAAGATAGCACTGAATCTCCAGGTTGCCCTATGCTGATATACTCCAATTACAATTTCCTTGATGTCAAGCTGGAGTTGCAGGTGCGCCTGCCGGACGGACGCCTTGTCGAACGACCAATGCAGAGCCAAGCGTCCCCGCCGGGACTGCGTTTCCCAAACGGTGGCATTATCAACGGCCACTTTGTTGTCAGTGGTACATACCTGACTTCATCGAAGCAAGAATATGCGCTGTGGGCTCTCGACCTGAAAACATTGACTTGGGGCCGTATTGATGCTGGAGGATCGGTGTTTGGGCAGGGTAGTTGGAATCGGGGAGTGCTTTGGCCTCGCCGTAATTCTTTTGTGATTCTTGGACACCGGAAGCGCAGCCTTGTCGATGATTACAACCACCGACGAATCAACTTCTCGCACGTCTGTCTGGTCGAACTAGAGGCATTTGGACTCTACAACAATGCTTGCCGCACTTCTCCAACATCGGGATATAAGTCTTACAGCTCCTCTTCTGTTCCGGCATCCTTGCAAAAGAAGCTAGTGCAGTTGACATCGGGTGGGCGGCCATTGTCTGCCGCATCCGATGAGCTAGGCAAGCTCGCGCAATCTTTGCCAGAGATGGCCGACATGGAATTGCAGGCTATAGGGGGAGAATGTATCTCCGTCAACTCTCGCATATTAACTCGGCGCTGGGGTCCGTACTTTATCCAACTTCTTCGCGAGTCGTCGGACGGAGGTATTGCAGACATCGCATCTCTTCGTCCGTCCCTGACACACCCGAGCCGCAACTCGAGCATCACTATCACCCCTTCGATAGGCTCCGATGCAACAACTCTTGTCAATCAGTCTGTACCTTCGAAGTCTCTGCTTGAGAATCTTGAAGTTCCATCTGCTCACAGCCTTGCCCCGACCTCCCGACCGCGTGTGCTGTATCTCCCCCATACCATTTTGACTCTTCAAGTGCTGGTTCAGTACCTCTACACCTCAGCTCTCCCAGCCGTAGGCACCTCGCTTTGCACACCACAAATTCTCTGCTCGCTTCTACAGCTTGCACGCCCATACCAAATTGACGGACTCCTAGAGGCCACCGTCGAAAGACTCCATCAGATTCTTGACGGGCGCAACGCCGCGGCTGTATTCAACGCAGCTGCCATGGCCGCCGGCGGTGGTCGCGGTACTGGATTCAATGGTGGACCAGGGGGTACACTTGAGGCTTTAAATGGAGCCTACACCGGCCACAACGGCACTGCGCCCACAATGGGCGAACACAGCGACTCCCAACACGGTGCACTCACATCAGGCTCGTCCGACACAGAGCATGGCGGTGCCTCCGCATCAGTAGCGAGCAGCATAGGCGCTCTCAGCAGCTTTGCTCGAGGTATTCCATCTCTCCGCATTGATACCAGTGTCTCCCTGCATTCGCGCCAACGCAGATCCCGCCGCGACCGCGAGGATTCTATTAGCAATCCAAGCACAGCGACATCCGCGTCCAGCGCTAGTTTCAGCCAGTCCGACTCCGAATGGGTTAGTGGCGATGAAAGCCGCTCGCAGTCCCGCTCTACCCATCACCACCGTGACGTAGACGCCGAGCTGCGCCGCCCCCAACGTGAGCTCTGGACCGGTGATCTAAGCAGTGTCATCGGCCTTCAGAAGCGCGGCTTGCGTGGTCTCATGGAGGGCCGTCGCATGCGTGAGCGTACTTCGAAGCCCGCTAGCGCTAGCGGTAACTCGATATCTATGCCGCCGTCGGCTGGCTCGGGGGATCAACAGGTTCCTTTCCAAGGCGTTGCCAGTTGATGGTTCCTAGAGCTAAGGGCTGTGACGTCTATACGATCTCTTTCCCCCCACCTTATCCTTCTGTCACTTCGTTTCTTAGATGATCTCTTCCATCTCTTCCAGATACCTTATTTGGATTATATATACTTCTTCTTCTTGCTTTTCACCCCAGCAGGCTGGCAATGTGGGGAGGATTTAGGGCAGAATTTCCAAAGTTGGGAATCATGCATCTGGATGTTGTACCTTTCTTCTGTTTATGTTATTTCGGCTGGGTAGGTTGTTCTCGCCTATCCATAGCCATGGATATATTTTGAGACTCCGGGCGTTGGATTTTACAATGAATGCATTAAACCGGATTTGTCTCCCCCTCAAGAGACTGCTCTAGATAGAGATGAGAGAAGACAGATTGTTTCAGGGCTTCTTATGTACAGTTGTAAAGCCTTTCAAATGCCATTCTATTTTGGATCGTACAGAGAGTCCCGCTTCCAGAAGAATTAAAAACAAAAAGAAGCAGATTAATCCTTCTGTTTCTGATCTTCCCGACTTTTAGGACTCTTGCCAAGATAGACTAAAGGAAATAAGTTAGTGTATATGCAATAAAAAGAATGTTAAGATTGCCTGGGCATTAAAGTACTCACGTCGCTCATAAAGAATCCATGATGTATATATTACAATCGGTAGTCCGACAATAGTCGTTGTCCATCTAAAGACGATTAGATTTCTCATTGTTGCCATGTAATATTCGCCAACCAAGCAAACAAAAACATAGAAGTAGAGCCGAAGACAGAAGATGATGGCACTTACCTCCGTGCAGCAGTCTTGTACTCCTTTGTCTTCCGGATATCATCCACCCCTTAGGGAGCCGCGAAGCAGCGGGTTGTTGAATTGGACGTGGAGGCCGGGTTTTGGGATCCACGGATCGGTATCTTTGCTGGTCTTTGAGGGATGACATTATTCTTGGCTTTTGTTAGACAAATCTGATCATAGAAGAAATTGCTGGGACGTGCTTACATGGTTTGCTTGGTGTGTTGGAGGATGTGAATTCTGTGAGGGAAGATTCGGGGAGGTGTTGGCGCCTGAGGCATTACTATAAGCTTGTCTACAATAGGAAGACGAAGTTGACTGTACTTCAACCACTGATTATAGATATTGTAAACTACATTTTAATTAAGACTAAAGCACATCTTCAAAGTCCTAAAAGAATAACCCGATGACTTCTTAATTTTAGGTTTCTGTCGATTGATAGATACGATAATCACAAGCTTCACATCGCCCTTTGAGTTTGTAAGCCACCACCACCATGCATCTGCCTTCAACTTTCGATATGTCTCAGAGACTCCAACTTCGACCCCAACGGTCGGCCATTTTGCATTGCGACCTGGAACAGGTTGCGTAAGGGCCCACGAATCGTCTGCCTGCTTTGAAGAAGACACACCTCGGACGCGTTTGGACCCTACCGGATGGATCGACTGCGCTAGGCTCATATCGTGTACCACATTTTGTACTTCAAAAAGTAGGCCGCGTGAGGCGGTCTCATAGGCTCCAGTCAAGATGGGGTGCTGTGGTAGGGTGATTTAGCGGCGGAGGCAGCGATGGATGTCGGTTCTGCGCCCTCTGATCAAACCCTTCTGCCATGGCTGATGTGATATCCGCGTAGTGTTGCGGCGAGACATTTCGAAGTAGTAGTATTTGATCACCCTGAAGGGAAGTTCCTTCTGTTCTTTTATGATCCTCCGGATAGCACTGGCCTCTGACCTGATGGCTTCATATGTGTCATCGGGTAGTGCCCGGAAGAACTCGATGTCGGTGGAGTCTGAGTCTGAGCCATCGGACATAGTGGTCAATATGAGCTTTTCGAAATGGTATCGACGACATTTCTGGCGTCCGAAACTATATAGTCTGAGTACGTTTTGGATAAGGTGTGGAGTAATGAGTCATCCTTACCTTATCCCGGGGTCGATCGATGAAAGTTGGAGGTAGCTAGAGAGCGAGAAAAGCGAAAGAAGAGATGGGAGAGGAGAAGAAAGAAGAAAGAGAGGTCAGATGAGATGAGGGAGGTGCCTAGGTGACAGATCCTGCCTTATGTGCGAATGAACGCACAAAGTAAATCAGGCAAAAGTAAGCAGAAAGTCGACCCGTGTGACATGTCAGATTCTACCTTTTACGAGGACCACGAGGGCAAAAAGAGTAGGAAATGAAGCAATACTAATGGCAAGGACAAAGACAACTAAAAAATCTCATAATTCACCATGAACTCCATGGTATGCCCCGCGATGCTAATCATACATGCTTGAAAACGCCCGCTGGTAATCAATCATACAAAAAGGTCGATAGCGAAAAAACAAGAAAACGAAGAGTGATAATCATCGCCCGGCATCAGCCGGGCAGAATGCCTCATCATTTTGCCCTCACAGGGGCCTCACATGCCCCGGCGGCGGCGGCGCTTGTTGGTCGGTGCGGAGGACGGCGCACGCGAACGCGGGGGGCGGGGGAGGAAAGGGACTGCGTGGCGGGGCCTTTCTTGGAAGCAGATGCTCGAACCCCGGAGGCCTCAGTCTTGGGCGCCGGCTTCAAGGTCAACCGGAGTCGCTGCACCTTAGGTTTATCGCCCTCGATGGCAGCGGGGGCGACGGCGGCAGCCGGGCCCGAAGACTGGACCTCAGTCGCAGTGTTAAGGGAAGAGGTGGGAGACAGGAGAGTGGGAGCAGGAGCGGTCTGGCGGCGGCGCCGCTGTGACTTGCGTGCGCCGGTCTCGGGGGTAGTAGCAGCAGGAACGGCTGCGGCAGGCTCATCGGCGGCCGCGGTTTGACGGCGCTTTCGGGTACGAGGCTTCTTAGTCGCAGGGGTTGGCACAGGGACCCGAGCCAGAGCCCTAGCCTTTTCCTCCTCCACATTTTCAGTGACGAATGGGGCCACCGCATCAGATGGGAGGTTACGGTCTCCCAGGAGTGGTGCGAAGCTGTGAGTGGCATCGGCCTCGGCCTGCTGGCTGGTTCTGGCGCGCACTGGTGGAAAAGGGAGACCCTCGTAGCCGTAAGTATGGGACGGGTAATATGGATGGCAATTCTCGGGGAGCAAAGCAACCTCTTCACCACTGGAATTAACGTAGCCAGTTTGAATCCAGCCATCGCTACCAACCTTGGTGTCAGACTGCTTCTTGTAGCTCAGGATGCTTGAGCCGTCGGTGACTGCGGTGGTAGGAGTGGGAGGAGTAGGAGGAGTGGGGGGTTGGGTGGGGTGGGAGAAGAAGAAGCGATCACAGGCGCTGGGAGGTCTTGGTCGATCATATCTACATCGACATCGACATCACTCGGCGTGGCTTTGGCGGGCATGTCGACGCCATATTTTTCTTCATCTTGGCGACGGAAGTATTCACTTCGTTGTTGCTCCAAGAATACAGGGATATTCAAAGGGGGAGTAAAGTCAGGGCTGAAGGACTTAATTGTCAAGTCATACAGTCTCTGGCCAGCCGCCTTCACGTTAACATCGAAACCGATCAAGACAGCATTTTTTCGCATGTTCAAGTTGGTCATTCTCTTTGACCTTCTTGTTCTTCTCATTGGCTGCTTCGAAACATTGTCCTTCGCAACCTTTGCAACCTTGGTAGCCACAGGAGTAGCAGGAGTAGCAGGGGCAGGAGTTTCGACGGTCGGGGCGGACACTGTCATGTTCTTGCGGCGAGGCTTCTTCTTAGTTGATTCAAAAGATTCAATGGCCCTGATGGTGGGCTTGCGAACCCGGGATGAGTTCCGCATATCGGAGGCACTGGTAGGGCTGGAGGGACCATCGGCTGTTCCTTCGGATTCAAAGCTGCCCATGTACTGGTCAAATGTCCAGCTGGCGCTACCATTACTCTCTGGAAAGTCAATATCTGATACTTCTTTCTGGGGTGTTTCAAGTGCAGCTGTTCTTCTTGTCCGTCGACTACTTGAGCTGGTGGCCGGGGCTTCTAGGGCTGGAGGATAAACAGTTGAGAGGCGTGACGGACGAGACTGGAACGCCCGCCGACGCGAGGATGGTGTTTCGGGACTCGTTCCACGTGAACTTGAATTTGAAGCAGGTGGATTACTTGTAACAGGTGGATTCGGAGTGTAGAAAAGAATGTTGCTAGAACTGTCTTTGGGACTGGCGGATGTGTTCAACGTTTTGGCGGGTTGTATGCTCTCATTTGTACTTTTTGACGGACGAGGTACGCGGGGCGAGCGCCGGGAAGGTGACAATGTAGGCGCCTTATTGATGCGCGCAGGCATTGACTTACGCTGGCCCTTCTTTGGAGGCATCGTGAATTAAAGCTAAATGGCCCGCAATTTGTCAGTATAATCTATCCATGCGAATAGAACGGGCAGTAAATAGAGTGAATGAACTGTATAAGTGGAAGCCTAGCCCATACCTCCAATACCAGGCAACTAGGGCGTGGATAACATTATAGGGGGGTCATCAGGTGAAGGGCAGGGTCGACGTCAGAAGACCGCAGTGCACGGAAGGGGAGAAGTTGGGAATTAGGGCCCGACATATAGGCGCAGAACTCACGAAATCAGAGGTACCACCATCCGCAGTTGTTTTCTAGGGTGTTCATAAACAAGCTTGTAAGGACTAGGCGGACGTTAGAATTGTATTTGTGCGAGATAAGGCGAAATAAAGTGATGGAAGATGCTGAGGTCGACAGAAAAGAAATTAGGGCTATGGTTGATCGGCGCTTATCGGCTTCACTTGTCCGCCTTATTCTGCAACTCCTCTATCCTCCACCATCTCCCCGAGCTCTCTACAGCTGTTTTCTGTTAGTTTCTGTTTTATTTTCTGTTATTTCTTTCACAATGCATCTGTGGCAGGCCACCGTCCCATTCTGCCTATTGGCTGCAGCTGCCCTACCTGGCGCTGCCGCCACAGCTTGGGGCTTTACTGATGCCACCGTGGCCGTTCAATCAAAAGGTGCTGGTGTCAATGGAGGTTTCAAGGAAAAGTATGTATTTTGTCTCAAGTAGAAGGTACATGAAACTAATCAATGTGTTCAAACTAGACTTACTGCATCCAAGCCGCTCTCCAAGCCCGTCTCCCTTCTCGGTGCCGATACCTTACGCGTCACCTTGACAACCCAGGAAGACAGCTCTCCAAAGCGACCAGACCAGGCTTTCCTTTTGCTCAAAGATGCTCAAACTGGATTGGATATCTCCTACCCTTTCAATGTCAAGGATAATGGCAAGTCAAGAGTCGAATTGGTATGCAACCCCGAAAAGACTTTCCGCGGCGCAGCTAACACATGCCCTCCAGACCCAGAAAGACCTGCCGATTCAATTCCTCTCTCTGTCCGGCCCAGTTGATGCGCATGTTGTCATTGGCGGGTTTGGAAGCTCCGATGCCTACGATAGCTCTGTGTTCAAGTTGTCGATCGATCGTAACCCCGGAGAGGCCGTGCCGACCGTTGAAACCGAGCGATATGGCAAGAAGCCCGAGATCCACCATATCTTCAAGGATTCTGCGTCTAGCCCGCCAATTGTCATAACCTTGGCATTTGTCGCCATGGTCGGCGCTGCTTTCCCCGCTCTTGCTGGCTTGGTAAGTCCATCTCATTTTTGCGCCAAGGCCGTTGCTTATAGATTGTCTCTAGTGGCTCTTCCTCGGCGCCAACGTCAACCACCTACCCTCCGCGTTCAAGTCTGCCCCTCTCTCGCATGCTGTCTTCCTCGGATCATTGATCTCATTTGAGGGAATCTTCTTCCTCTACTATACCTCGTGGAACTTGTTCAAGGTCCTTCCCGCGATGGCTGTTGTTGGTGTGGTCGCATTTGTTAGTGGCAGCCGCGCGCTAGGTGAAGTGCAGGGCCGGCGTCTTGCTGGTCTCCGGTAAAATTCCGGAACATACATGAATTTATCTACCGTGGTCCTGTTTATCCTCTCACGGCGCTGCCAAACTGTCGTGTGGTCCTAGGTTCCGGTGGTATGTATCTTAGCTGCAGTGATACCCAGTATGTTTTCGCAAAACACATAACAGGGTTTCCACTGGAATTTCACAAAAGTCTCGCCGATCTTCAAATGTGATCATCTCCCAATTGTTTGTAATACGGGTTGGGTTGGAATCTCCAGATAAGTAGCTGCGCTAACATGTGCTGCCCGCCAACGCCCTTCAACATTTGGTTTGACATTTCTAGACATATCGGACGAGTATGTGTTGCTCTACCTAGGGATCTCGCTAGATACCTATCTCATACTCCTAAGGAAGCTGTTTGTTGACTGTATTTTTGACGTCACAAGACAGGACAGATAGACCGCTTCCTTTACCGCCTGCCTAGGACGGTATATATAGTTATGCAATCCTGCCTCAGAGATCAGGCCATTGATCTCAACAGGGGCTTGTTCAATATCCTTGAGAATCTCTACCGTCTTTAGTTCTGCTTAACACTTTCCTAAATATTAACTTGTATGACTCATATACTCAGGTTTGTGAGAAGTCTTGCTTGACTGTTCTGCTGGCAAAATACCGACCCGAAGTCCAGGCCGTAATGCCAAGGCGACATCGGGAACCTCGACTCAAAGCTCCGCAAAAAGCTGCAACGCCTTATACCAACACTTCCGATCCACAGCCCATCATTCTCAATGGGTTCCGCTGCTTCAAAGCCCGCCAAATCAGCGGCTGGCGCAGCCTCACGGCGCCAATACCCCAAGCAGCCGGCTCCCCCGCCAAGAGGACCGCGCAAAGCTCCAAAAGAAACCAAAGCAGCGTCTGCACCTACGCCTTCTTCCGCGCCCAAGCCCAACGCTGGTCCCTTGCCTCCTCAAACACCTGCACCTTCCTCTCAGGGCCCAAAATACCACTCAAAGGAGAAAGCATCCGACGTGAAGTCTGATGGTACGTACACTCGCCAGCGATCTCTTCAAGTCTTCTACATGCAACAGATGCAAGGCCAGCAAGGAAAACAAACTAATGACCATTTAGCCATCGACATGGACGGCCGAGATCCCCACTTCGCTGCCTCCCTCCGGTCCATAGGCCCCGTCGATCCATCACCTACGTACTCAAACTCAAGCACTTTCAACCGAGGCTCAATGCAAACTGTCTTTCCACAAGCTTCCAACCCGGCACTACTGGTTGTCACTGCTCGACAACGTCTCACAGAGGCCGCGGATAAAGAAGCCGAACACTTCGGTCATGCGGGTCACCCGGGGAGATCGTTCCTGGATGCCGTGACTATTCAACAGGTGTTGACGATGCGGGATAAGCAGGGCAAGCGCCGTGGAGATATTGAACGGTTCCTTGGGTTGAAGAAGGGGGTCTTGGATCGGTTAGGGAAGGATGGGGTTGTCTCGCGTATTACATGATATTCGTCCACTACCCAGGTGAGCTCTTTGTTTTAGCGATTTTGGCTCCAAAATTCGGTCGGTGTCTTTGGTGCATTGGAATTATTCGTTGGCGTCATTCTTCCTGCATACTTTGTATATCACTCATCCCTACTCATGATAATATTAAATTCTTTAGTCAAACTTGTCATGGATTTCTTCTTCAGGGCTTTCAATTTTCAGCTCAAAAGACGGAGAGTTCGATAATTACAAAATGTTTGATGGACCCTCAGGACTAATGAGAAAGGGGGCTTCCACAACTGTCAGGATGATCTTCAGAGTGTTTGACCGATTATAATTGACTCCAAATCAACCAGTTACCGAAAACTGCTACATTGGACGCCAGTTTAAGGGAAGAATGGAATGCCAGGGTAACCATTGATTGAAATTCGAACTTGGCCACAGGTTCAAAGTACGGTAAGGTTAGGCCATAACCACTTGTCATTGGCCAGGTCAACCTTCTTAAGATGAGACTCTTCAAACTTCGACGGGAGGATGATCTCCTAGGGAAGGAGGCATTGCTGTTAGTCCGTTTTGGGAATGGAGTTGGCCATCAGCCGCTGTTGCCAATCGAAATCGCGCGAGTCTTCGCAATGCTATATATTCTAAAGAAGAGTGTGACTGCCAGCCAGCGTCCACTGCCAGGCGGTGCATACTAACAAGTTCGAACAAGTTCAAATTGGCTAACATATCGCAGGACGGGCTGTATAAAATCGTGAGAATACGCTGATCTCAGGCCCAGATTGCGGGGTCGCTTTGGCTCTGGATAGAGCTCTTGGCACTACCGATCTTGACGTCTGCACTTCGACAACCCCGAGTCACCAAGCTGACAAAACACAGAAAACTAACTAACTAGAACCTGAAGTTGTTGATTTCCAAGCTTTATCGTAGAAAAGTGGACCTCGGGTCGATACTTCGGCGCCGACTACCAATCATACAACAGAGAGACAAAATGACAGCCCTAGATTAAGTGGGATGCGATCTAAATCGCGCTCTATGCTATGACAGATAGTGATGAACTCCCCATACTTATAAGAGTGTTCCTTTCTCTTTATACGTACTTTCAAATCGATTGAACAGATTTGCCTCTCAGTCCTCTCAGTCCTCTCCTCTTGAAAGTTCCGGCTACAATGTATCTTCGCGCCGTCCACGCCGAGGGACAACTCGCCGTCCTCCAGCAATTCATCCGTGATAACCCACTCGGCATCCTAACAACGGCCATCAAATCCCCGATCTACTCGTTCATCCAATCAAGCCATGTCCCCTTCGTCCTCGATGTACCTCCCTCGGCCGAGGGCGATGACACAGCCCCGACCGGCATCCTGCGCGGCCACATGGCCAAACAGAACCCACAAGCAAAAGCCTTGATGGAAGCCCTCGCTGAGCAAAACGCAGCAGGGAATAACAAACTCGAGCTCACGGACGAGGTGCTGATTCTATTCAACGGCCCACACCACCACTACGTGACGCCCAAGTTCTACACAGCAACCAAACCGGCCTCTGGTAAGGTCGTCCCGACGTGGAACTACTCCGCCGTGCAGGCGTATGGCAAGATTATCGTGTACTGCAATTCCAAGGCAGACGAAACGGGCGCGTTTTTGCAGAAACAGATCCAGGATCTGTCGCGGCAGTCTGAAGAGGGCATTATGGGGTATACTGGGGGTGATAAGAAGACCGCATGGAATGTATCCGATGCGCCGGTCAATTATGTGGAGCTTTTGAAGAAGAATATTATTGGCATTGAGATTCGTGTCGAGCGACTGCAGGGAAAGTTTAAGATGAGTCAGGAGATGGGCGAAGGGGATCGGGAGGGGTTGTGCAAGGGTTTGAAGAGTTGGGGTCGGACGTTGGGAGGGGTATTGCTGATTGTGTTAGGGAGCGTGCTGCCTTGAAGGATCAGCAGAAGTTGGTATAATTGACTTAGGAAGAGATTATGTACTGTGGTTGCCGTTGCACGTGATGATCATGAGGAATGAGAAATATGCATAAATGATATAGAACCTTTCACGGAAATGTGTTCAATTCAAATCTCAGCTTTCAAGAATATGTACTTTGTAGACTAGCACGGTTTTGGTTCTTTAGGGTAAATATGTTTCACTTTTAGCTTTTAAATGTCTCTACCCACCAGGTCTTACTGGCTTTGCGTTATATTTACTTTGTAAGGTCGTGGGACCAGGTGTCGACACTAGAGTCAATACGATGTATGGAGTATGTACATATGTTGTACTTGGCTTCAGCAAGCCGAATGAGAAGATCACACATGTCAAGATCAACATCCGAGTCGTCATATTAAATATACAGGTCGTCCGCTGTAAGGCCGACCGCCAAGCATATTTAGACAAAGGTCCGTGCACAGTCTCCAACCATACCCCTGGATCATGGCCAAATACGTACACATCTCCGTACATATAAATACATATAAATGTACAGAGTAGATGTATTGCCGAGACAAAGTTCGATTGTTCTATCCGCGTACTATCCACAATTAGATCTCAGAGACACGGGATGATCATTTATAATAATAATCTAAAAGGGGGCAATGTAGGTGGGGGAAACGGGAAATCGGCGCAAATCTTGAGTTTTTCCCCGGATTTTATGCACAAGTGCCCAGGCAGACAGCCTTGAATGTTCCCCCTTTTCGCAGAACCTTGGGAAGTAACGTCCGAACCTTGGAACCGGCCAAGATTGGCATGACCTCGGGCTGTAGTGATCCATGGTTCGATGAAATTGGTATTTTACTGTACTGTACTGTATCATTTATTTTCGGTCTCACGAAAGCGAATCATTTAGGAATAGTGCGATGCAGGGTCCTCTCGGGTCTCCACTTGGGCAACTTAGGGACAATATGAGAGGTTGACCGGATGGGAAGAGTGGTTTCGGCGACGTAATGAAAAAAACACAGAATAAAAATAAAAAGAAGAGAAACCAAGCATTTGGAGTAAATTTGGAGCCGCTTAGTCTAGTCGCGTGCACAATTTCCCATCGCCTAATTGGCCTTATTCTGTTATTTCGTGATATCTAAGAATAACCCTTGGACCCTTTCCTTCCCTTTCCTCCCGGGACCACTCCTCTCTCTGTTCTCTCTTTCTTGCTGCCTAGTCTCTCGTTTGCCGTTTCGACATTCTTCGACTCTTCTTCTCCCCCTACGTTGCCAACTGCGCGATTCCACTGTACAAATGAAATGATTCCAACATGTCCATCTTCGCCCTCTTACCACCGTTGTCGCCCTTCCTTTTCTCCACACTCGTTGTGAGCGGTCTCGCCTCCAAGGCTTTACATATTGCGCTACATATTCGCTCCTTACCGTTCCTCTACTTCGTCCTCTATTCGCCCACCCTCATTCTACCAGATGTGTTTGTTATTATATTCGTGCGGGTCCTGTTACGCTTCCATGCGCCAGATGGTCGATGGCAATGGCTCTCGACTGGGTTGGGAGGGGCACTATCGTATGTTTATCCCGAATACCGAATACCGAAATGGAGGACAGGGGAAAATTTGCGCAACACAGGCTAACACGAATAATAGCTTGATCACATGGGGTGCTTCCTCCATCCAGTTCGGATTCTTTATGCAGACCGGTGCCGAGGTCGCCTGGGCAGCTGGTGGTAGCTTCCTGAGCGATCCGGCGGCCATGAAAATTCTCCTCAGCGGTATCTCTACTGTATCCGCTGCGGCCACCGTCCTCGGACTCATTGCGTGGTTGCTTCATTCGCATTTGTACAACATCACCGGTCTTGGCTTGCAGGCAATCCGAGACCTGTCCATACGGGGATTCAAAGCGCGTTATACATTGATTTCCGCCCCTAGCAAATCCTGCATGACCTCGATAGACCTCCGGTCATTCCGTCGCATTATTCCCGCAGTCGCAATCTGTGTATCGCTTATTTTCTTGGAACTAACTCGACCCGCTATACCGTATGACCATCTATCCGGAGCTCTGCCCCTGACACTGCTCGATGCTTTCCAGAAAAAGACGGCAACGGTGGAGGGATGTCGCGAGCCTGCCATGCCATTCCCTCTCGCGGCTGATAATGGGGTCTCTCGTCCTCAGTTCCAACCGGACTCGACCTTTGTGGAACAATGGTCACGAGCCCCATGGCTCCCCGAGAACCCACCCCAAGGATTCAGCCGCTGGGATCTTAGCCCGAGCGAGCGCGCAGTGAAGGACAATCATTATTCTTTTGTTTGCACCGGTGATGAGGGCGCATTCTACGACCCCAAGAATGACCCGCTGATGGTCACAAATCTGGGCGGTGAAATTTATGAGCCCCTGCAAAAGGCCTTCAAAGAGCACTCAGTTGAGGTCAACCATATAGTGCTGTTAACGCTCGAAAGTGGCCGCAAGGAGCTGTTCCCCACACAACAGGGCACACCCTTGTTCGATGGTCTTCTGGCGTCTCATAAGAAGCAGAAAGTCAACGAGGCAATCGATCGTCTAGTCAACATGACCCTAGTCGCTCAACAGTTGACTGGCGAGTACGCAACCGATAGCAAGGGAAACAAGGTCGACATGAGCCATTCTCCGTGGAAGACCCCGCCACAAGAAGGTATGGGTGGACTTAATGTGCGTGGTGCCGTGACGGGTAGCTCCTTGACCTTCAAGAGTGTTTTGGGAAGTCATTGTGGTGTGAACCCTTTGCCAGTGGACCTTCTAGAGGAGTCTCTGCTCGAAATTTATCAGCCGTGCTTGCCACAGATTTTCGATCTGTTCAATCAAGGCAAGTCGCAACCCGAGAAGCGCTTGCAGAACTCTTCTTCTGAAACCAAATCCGCGGCTCTCAAAAACCCCTGGAAGTCTGTATTCATGCAGTCAATCACCGATGACTATGACCGTCAGGACATCCTGAACAACAACATGGGCTTCAAGCACAAGGTCGTTAAGAGCAATCTGCTTTCTCCTCACTCGAAACACAAAGCTCAGGGCAAAGAGATTAACTACTTCGGATTTGCGGAGACTGAGCTCCGACCCTACGTGTTAGACCTCTTCGAGGAGGCCGCAAACAACAAGACCCGCATGTTCCTTTCACACGTCACCAGCACAACCCACCACCCCCTGGAGTACACCAGACGACTTCGAGAAAGAACCATACATGAGCGACCAGGGAAGCATCAACCATGACCTGATGAACAACTATCTGAATTCCGCCCGGTTCGTCGACTTATGGCTCGGCGATATAATGACTATGCTTGACCAAACTGGCATTGCCAACGAGACTCTAGTCGTCGTCGTCGGAGACCATGGCCAAGCCTTCGGCGAAGATAATAAGGACATGACCGGCACGTATGAGAATGGCCACATTAGCAACTTCCGCGTACCCTTGGTTTTCCACCACCCGCACATGCCTCGAGTGGATATCACCGCCAACGCAACCGCCCTTTCCATTGTCCCTACCATCCTGGATCTTCTCGTCCAGTCCAATTCCCTGGACGAGCGCGACTCCGACATCGCCTCTGCTCTCCTCCCAGAGTATCAAGGCCAGTCCCTCATCCGTCCTTTCCTCTCTTCCATAGAGGAACCACCCAACCGCCGTGACCATCACCATCCTCCACCACATGAGCACCCAGAACACGAGCGAGTAGACACCCAGGTCGAAGCCCGTTCCCACCCAGAGAGCCCAGCCAAGCGCTCCGTTTGGAACATGGGCCTGATCAACGCTGGTGGCTCTATGCTGTCCATCATGGCAGCCGATGTTCCCTACCGTCTAATCCTT